CCACATTCATTCCGCTACTGCCGTTGCCCGGTGGCTTCCGAGTTACCGCTTGCAGCAGTGTCGCCAAGCTCAGGTCGGTTGCAACCACCTCGGGGTCGACGTTACCGTTACCGTTACCGTTACCGGTGTCACGGCTGTAGCTGGCATTTCTTGGGTCCCAGTCCGCGCCTAGGACCAGTCTATAAAAGGGGGGGGAGGGGAAGGGGAGGGGAGAGGGGGGGAGAGGAGGGGAGAGGACGGGAGAGGGGGGGAGCTTTGGAAGGATGTGTATGTTACCCCCCCCCCCGGCTTCCCCCTCACACACACACACACCATCCCCCACCACCTCGCATTTCCCACCTGACCCAAGCCAGCGTGTTCCAATCGCTGTACGGCCCAGGGTTGTACTGCTGCTGCCGTGACTGTACGGCATCTTCCACCAGTTGTCGTGCTATTGCCGCCCTCCATATGGGCAGTTGGGTTGACTCCAGGGAGGATATCCACTGCTGCTGCTGCTGCAGCCACTGGGAAGCTGTTGCTGACGGCTGTAGCTGTGGTGATGACGGGGGTGGTGGTGAGGGGGGGTAGTGCTGTAGGCGGTCCTCCCCCCCCCCAGAGGAACAGCGCCCAGGTGTTGAGATCCAGATTCGTCCTGTGTGAAGGGGGGTGATGCCGGGGTGGGGCTCAGAGCGACACGTCATCAACCAGCAGCAAGGTGGTAACGAGTCCCCCGCAGTGCCACCACGAGCTGTCTGGTCCTGCAGTACGGAGTACCACACGCGGGTGGCAAACCCCTCCATGAAAAGCCCAAAGACATTTTAACACCCTTGCTCCACTGACTGATCCGGTGACAGCCTCCAGCCGCTCAGAGCTCAGGCTCCATACATACACATACACACACCTGTGTGGCTGCCACTCCCCCCAGCGCTCTGGGGGAGCCCACATAAGGCCCATCTGGGGGTCCGTCAGCTCCACCAGGTCACGGAAGCCGCCAGAGACGGCGGCCGCCTGCTGGAGTGTCGTCGTACGACCATAGCTCGACAGTACGGCAGGTAGTATCGCCCAGAGCATGGCGGGTGGAGACTCCGGGTACAACCTGCGTCCGCGAGATGTGTGTGTGGTGGGGGGGAAGTGAGGGGAGGTGGAGGAGAGGAGTTTAAAAAGGCGAGAGGGAGGGGGAGGAAAAGAAGAGAGGAGCAAGCATATGTTTGGATTTGCGTAAGACATGCAGGTTTTTGACGTACACATGTCTTCGACATGTACATGTACACACGCGCACATGCAGGGAGTATTTCCGCAGATGAGCTCGTGAGGTGAGGTGAGGGGAGGGGAGGTGAGGTGAGCGTTTTGAAGGCCCTCGTGGCGCAATGCTTTCGCAGCTACACACTCACACACACACACACGAAAGGCTTCATCCGGCCCGGGGGGGGGGCACTAGGGGTGTGTCCTGATAAGTGCCGTGGGACACAAGTTGGCCTGTGACCCCCCAAGACACACACATACATACGTACTTACACACAAAGCTGTGCGGTTTCTATCGTGTTGCTTTCACTGTACTTTTGCAATACATACTTACATACATGCATACACGTACACACAATCACGGTACCCACACATCTTGGCGCATCATAAGCAACTCCCCCCCCCCGGCAATTCATCTGCTCAGAAGTATTGTCTACACCGTCACACAACTGTCGTACCTGTCGGCTGTCTTCTGTTGCAGTACGTCGTACATTGCGGAAATGGCGGGAAAGTACCCGACGCCAGCCGTCAGGTTCAAACCGTCTGCAGCGTTGCGGTTAGCGGGGTGAAGGGAGGAGGGGGAAAGAGGGAAGGGGGAGGGGGAGTGCACGCAAGGAGTATCGGGGAAAGTATAAAGCATCGGGGAAGCGGGGGGGGGCGCGGAGGAACCACGGGAACGAGTGAAGCTGATGCCCAAGGAGATGAACTGATACGCGAGGGGAGGAGAGGTGCGAGGTTAACTATAGCAGTGGCAATATCAACCAGGGAAAACCACTGTACGACCGATACGACCAAAGTTGCACTTTACGAACTGCTGAACGAGTCCAAAGCTCCAATGAGTCCCCTGAGCAACCTCTGATCCTTTGTGACATTTTTGGAGTAACATGGAATTATGTACATTTTTGGTCGTCTTGTCCAAGTGCACGTGAATGCGAGACAGGTTTTCAAACACACGCACTCGCCCCGAAGCGCAATACGATGCACAACGTAATAGCAACGGAGCTCGTAGGTATACCGTTCATGTGAACGCGGTCGTGCCTGAACGCGGTTCAAACGTCTCTTGACTTAGTGTTCGTCAGGGTACCCCCCCGCGCAGATTCATATCCTCGCCGCCCCCTCCTGTAAATGTCCCGCCCTCTCTTTTCCTCCCTCTTTCCCCCCTACCTCCCCCCCTCCCCCTCCCCCTCCCCCTCCCCCCTCCCCCCCCTCTCTCGGCTCACCGCTTCCCGGCACCGCGTCCGGCAGTGTGAGCCCCTCCTGCCACTGCACTGCCGTACCCCCCCTTGCAGGGCTGGAGGACGGGGGCGGAGGGGGTGTGGCGGTGAGGGCGAAGGTAGTGGCCAACCACACGTCACCTTGCTGGCCTGAAAAGGGGGAAAGGGGGAAGGAAAGGGGGGGAAAGACGAACCACAAACGAGTGAAGCTGCTGCCAGGGCAAGAGTGTACCAGACGTAGAACTGACCAGCAGGCGTTCTTGTGTGCGTGCAGCCTCGGGATGACGGGGGAAGGGGGGAGGGGGGAGGAGGGGGCTGCTGGAGGAAGTACCAGTACTATTTCTGTCCTCCGGCGCTTTCAACAAACAGCAAACGCCTTTTCTACCATGGCGTTGCTCACATAACAGCAGCGGCAGGAGCAGGACAAGCCAGTGCCACGTCCGCCAACACCGCCAGCACTGCTGCTCGGCCGACTGCTCTCCCACACACGGCCCCATAGAGACGCCAGACGCCCCGTGGACCACACCCACAGACACACACTCCACATCTAAACGCCCCAGACCCGCCCCTTCCTCCACATTACATACATGCAAACGTACATACATACATACGTACATACCCTGTACTTGAAGTTGTATCCGCAGAGCATCCCCTCCTGCTCTCCCTCCCGCCCTCTGCCCCCCCTGGCCCCCCACCGCCCCCCCCAGGGTGGAGGCGGTGAAGGTGAGGTTGACCGAACCCACGGAGGCGGCGGAGAATGAGAAACGAACCTGGGTGGCAACAATCCAGTGTGTGTGTGTGGGGGGGGGAACTTAAAGTGAGGGAAAGTCGAAACGCACTAGGTTGGTACGACAGTTCGTACGGCAGAAGAGGGATATTAAGAAATACAGGAGGAGGCTGTACATGTTGCTGAGGTGTCGGCAGGGTAAACACGTCGCCGTGTGATACACCACTGGTCGAGAAAGATGTGTCCACAGGGGTAGTACGGCACCAAACCCCCCCACCCCCCCAACCCCTCACTCCCCACCTCCTCCTGCAGGTCTTCCCCTCCTCCTTCTGAGGTTGAGAATGACACGGTTTTACGTGTCGTACCATTGACTGAGACGGCATTGCCGTCCACCTGGCCGCGGGGGGAGAAGCGGGGGAAGGGGGAAAGGGGCGGGCCGGAAGGGGATTTTGTGCGATGCGCCGTACACCCTCACACATCTTCGGAGGGACTGTAAAACTCTCCAGCAAGTTCAAATCTAAGCTACAGCTGCTACAGTTCCTGCCATCACTCCCTCACTCCCCCTCTCCTCCCGCCCGTAGAACCGCACATACATACACACACAACACGGCGCCCATTCATTCTACCCTCCCTCCCTCCATACATACACATACATATACATACATACATACCTGCAGCTGCACCGCCACGTCGGCTGGCGCCAGGCCCTCCGCCACCGTCACCACCACCCCCGCCTGGAAGCTGTCCCCCACCCTCACGAACCGCGGCAGGGAGGGGGTCAGTGACACCAGACGGCGCACAGCCACACGACCCTCACCGGAACCGTAATGGGCTGCGGAACCGGAGGCGGCGAAGGCCCTGTGGGTGTGTATGTATGTATGTATGTATGCACATATATATGTGTATGACGGGGCGGGGCAAACGGGGGGTGAAAGGGGAAGCGGGCGGGGGTAAACGACGAACCACGAGCGAGTGAAGCTGATGCCCACGGCCGGGGGGAGGGGAGGGGAGACCAAAACCCAATCCAAGGGTGTCTACACTGCCTGACTTTAAAAGCGGGGGGGGGAGGGGGGAAGACATGCTGTGTACGGCAGCAAATGCCTCGTTCCTGTGGAATGTGTGTCTGTTGGTAAATGTACGATAAATAAATTGCCAATGACGGAGTACGGGTATGTACGGCGAATGTGGCCGTACACTGACGTGCATCTCACCGAATGACAAAGCTTCCCAAGTTTTGGGGGGCCGTGAACTCCAGAGTGGCCTTTCCGTCGGGTCCGGTACTTGCCGTACGAAACAGGGGGGTCACGCGGAAGGAGGCCACGGAACGGGGAGGCAGCTGTACGGCAGTGGTGCCGCCGTCGGCGGTGGCAAGTGAGCTAGGCGGCGGCGCGGCTGGCTGTGGCCCCCGCGCCCCAATCTTCCCCACGACTGCGGATTCACCATTCGCCGGCATGGCTTCAACGTAAACAACGGATGCACGGCGACGACGTGCACGTGTGTTTTTTGTGTTTTGCCCCACGTTTCAGGGAGGGGGACGGGGTGGGGGACGGGGGTGGGGGAGAAGAGGGGGTCGAGGGGGGGCGGAGGAGAGCGTATTGAGGTCTGGTATTATCCTTATTATCACTACTACTACTATACGACTTGGCATACGACTTGACATATGATTGCACATTGCAGTGATGATGGTGATGATAATGGTGTGTTTGAAATGTGTACGACGGTGCAGAGGTTGCCCACACCTCTCTTATCTCCCCCGGGGGAGGGGGCTATCTATCCAGGGGGGGGGTTAAGAGGGGTAGGGGTGTGCAGTGCGAGTTGCCAACCCCCTACCCCCGTACCGACCTACAGACTGACCGACAAACAAGCAAACGTATCTACACACATCAACAAAACACACACACGTTTGTGTCCGGGAAATGGCTCACACATACATACCGACATCCACTTAGCGTAGCAAAAATCCCCAGGAGCCGCTACACCCGCCGTACAGCCGTACAGCCGTACAACCCACCAGTGGCGGCGATTGTGACGGCGTTCATCGCAGCTGCAAAACCGCTGTACGCTGCATGGACGGGGAGGGCGACGAGGAGGGGGAAATATAGAACATCCGTACAAACGTACGGAAGCGCGTGTGTATTTGTGTACGGAACGATGTGGTCGCGGGTGTGGACGAGGCTGGTCTGCTCCGTGTGGTCGAATCGTCCCGGTACAGGGTGGTGATGCGTGCGGTGTATTTCCGCGCACGCGTACTTATGACTATGGTACTATACTGACTAAAGGTAGTTACTGGAGTTCAACACGGTGTACTAAACGGTGTCTATTGCTGTGTCCGAGTGAGAGTCTGGGCCCCTAGGGAGATCCAGACTCCTGTCTTGAAGGGCGCTGGTTCAATGCCTGCCTGTGTCTTTGCTGTAGGTAGGTATGTAGGTATGTAGGTATATATATCACATTGAACATTGATTATCTCGCCCATCATCACTAGGGGGGCACATAGAGCAACACTGGGTCGGATCAGTAGCGGGAGGTGCGAGGGGGACCACCCCGGGGGGTGCGAACTCCCGCTGGGGTGGGTGACAATCTGTTCCATCTGGTCAGGTGCCCCCCCCCTCACCCCCCTGGTGACCCGGTGTCCACTGAGGGGGGCGCTGGGCGCTGGGTCGATCTGGTTTGGGCGATTTGTGGTTTGGCGCAAAGTCTTCGGTGGTGGGGGTGCCTCCACCACTCGCGCAGTCGGTGTTCCCTTGGTGGTTGTCGAGGTGGTTGTCGAGGTGGTTGGTGGTTGGGGGTCCGGTTCTTCGTCGTTGCGCCGCGAGCATTACCTTGACCTGGGGGTGCGCGACTGCGTCCGAAGGCCGTCGCTGTTTTTGGGCCCTGTCGCGTCCAGGCGCGTCGCGCCTTTCCGTTTGCAGTACTTTAATCGCTGAGAGGCGGGTTCTTCTCTTTTGGCCTCTTGGATACATCTCTTGGAGCAACAACTAATGCGGGCTTGTGTTGCGGAAGCCGGGTTAGTTGGCGTAAGGCCCTTGGGCGATGCAAGCTTTCGGTTGCTTCGCCACGGCCCGTGTCCTCAGGGCCATATAAATAATAGCGCCGCTTGGGTTCAGTTCTTTATCTTGTTTTTGTTGTTCAGCGCGCGCCCGCCACCCCCC